TTTAGTTATAGGGGGGACTTTCACACACATCACCCCTGGTATTTTCTACAGTATTGGTATCTCGATAAAGTAATGACTACGGATTTAAAACTTTCGATCCCACCATGCTGTGTACACCACATAAGACAAGACCTCGTGTTTTCTTACTTGCTGGTGGCGGGGCGAAACCTGATCGATCGAGGGCAGGAGAGAGCTTGCAAGTCCAACGCTCTGAGTTGAATGCGAGCCTGCCTATCTCAGACTGAATCTGTGGTGAGCGTTTATTGCTACTTGCGATGATTTTTGAAGAATAGAGCAATAACTAAACTCTTCGACCTGATGCCTCGCGCAGAAACATCCACCCCGCCTGGGGTATTATGCGAAGAATGAGGTTCTTGTCCCTCACGGCAAAAGCGTTCGAATCTGCTGCGTTAAGTATTTCGCTCCCGGTGTTTGGTTTACCGAAACTACTGCTGTTGAGTCGGACTCTCGTTGGACTACCACTCTGTGGTTGTTTCCCATCGACTAAATAAAATGACTCAAGTGTCGCGACTATCTTCTAGTTGTGTAAGAACTAAACTCAGTGCCAACTGTTAATTACCGTTGAATTTGCTGTCAGCTTGTATGTACGAGGGTGTCAAGTGTTTGCGTGCGGCCTTTGCATGCCTCTTCTGCCTGTCCATCCCTACCACCAGTGTGCGTACGGCGATCCATTCCCTCCTCTCTCTTCGCTGCGCTGCTTTTGTCTATGCATGGCGTATGTCAAATAAAATCTATCCGTGCGAGACATTTCACTATTCGGTGCTTTAGTTGGTTGTGGCCAAGCCAAAATCGATCAGTATTGGGTGTTTCTTTCCGCAGCGGGCGCGCTAATCCAAAACCGCTATTGTATCTGTTAACCCCCAAAACGCTCCTCCTCCTGCCTGTAGGTCTGCAGGATGGTAAAAAGTTCAGATGGGGCTTCCTAGCCAGTTGGTTTGTTGGCCAGGTTGTGGCTGGGTGGGTGCAGCGAGATGGACTTCTTAAAGCACCCGCGCCTGTACGACCACTTGATGGGCTGCCTGCCGAGCAATCTGCCTTTTTTTGCTCCTCGTTCCCCGTTTTCAAAGCGACGTGCGTTTGTTCGCACACGCATCTTGCGCCCGAGGTTGCGCGAGCACTGTAGCAGCATGGGCAGCAGCAGTATAACAATCGATTTGTAGCAGACAACGCGCCATGACTGTTTGCTGTTTGTTGCGGAAGGCTTGCGCGGTAAGCGAAGCCCCTCTCCGTTACTTTCATGTGTCCGAAACAACATGCACGCCACAACGAAAGGCCTCTGCGGTTAGTTGTTTTTATTTGACGGGTAGTCTGTGTTGCCTGCATCAGCTCGTGTAGGCATGTATACCCTCTAAAGAGCTTTTTGCTCTCTCTTCCTCCCTCTGTTCCTTCTCCCCTCCTGTTGTTCGTCTCTAGTGTTGTTGGTCCTTTGTCGTCTCTATTCTTGTTGGGCACGACAAGTATGGACAAGTGTTGCTCTTCCCGGAGGTCGGGCCGTTACCGTAAGCCATGACAACATCGTTCTGCCTCAGCCATGACCTTTCCGATTCAACCATCGGCACCGATCTACCGCAAGTATTATTCGAGGTTTGTCTTCGCAAGAAGCGCGAAACGTTAAACGTTGACAACCCACAGCTTGACCCGCCCTGTCTTGATGCTGCTGTGTGTCTTGTTTGCGCCCCCGACAGACGGCCCTCCGGTAAGGTCGCGACAGACCAACGGCGTGGGCAAACCAGCGAGCGGGCGCAGGGAGGAAGGAACGAGACGAGAGCGACGGGAGAATATTCGCGGCCGGCCGCTGCAATGCAGCACAGCGTCTGGCTATCTCAAAAGGCCGCTGAACTCGGGTGCCGCACGTCGGGGGCGGTGGGGAGGAGGAGATGGGGGGGCGGAACCGAGATGAAAAATAGCACACCAGTCAAGGTCCCTTTCGGGCCCGGTCGGTCGTATTCCGCCTTGTGCATCTAACATCGAGGAGGGACTATCATCAGCATCAGAGCGCTTAGCCAGGGGTTCGAATGGTGCGCGTCGATACGTGTTGCTGACCATTATTAGGGAGGGACTGCGTGTGGCCTTTGTCTTTTTTTCTTTCCGGGGGGG